GACATTGCACATTTCAGCAAATTCAGACAGTTGATAAATTAAATAAACGGTCAACCTATTCAATTGTTTTCAGAAGCAATAGATGCCTCGTTGAGTGACCTATATGGTTTTCTTCTGTAAATTCGCATTGCAAACATTTTACTTAGCAAACCTTATATACCCTCGTATAACTATTTACGTTAAATTTAAAACAATAACATAGACAAGTTGTATGTAAATAATAAGCTTGGCGTATACACGCACCACGAGCCACATGCTTGACTAACATCGAGCATGATAATTATTTCTATAATAATGTAGCGCGTAATATTATTCAAAACAGGTTTCGCTGTTCATCGTATCTTACTCATATACTGTTTAATCTTTACGACTAATCCCAACTCGGTAATTTTTTTCGTCAGGGAAGAACAGATCCACCGCGAGCAAAGTACGTTTTATTAGTAAGCACATTTTCTATTAAGTGCTAACCATATCGATATATGCGTACTGTTTTGCTAAATTTAGCCCTCCGTTACATATCGTCCACTGAACGTGCGCCAATCATAGTTATCATAGCCACTTGCATAATTGTCAAAATATGTCACTAGAGACTGCCTCGACATACTTACATCCATTATATATATAGAATTCATTCATTCATTATAACTGGTCTCGACCCTTACTCTAACTCCAAGCGGTCTCACTGCTATTTCCCCTGTTGCTACTTCCAGCTTTACTTCGCGTGCTCTAATTTCTGACGCAAGGGTAGTAGGTTCGCTGACATATGATATATGGCCCTTGTGAACTGAATATTCTCAATTAAGCGGGTCAGTATTATCGAGCATCGCGTCATAGAACTGCTAAAAACAATAAAAACTTCCAAAGACCTATATGACATCCTTCAACGAAGGAACGATTCAGGCGATTGTGTCACAGTGAACGGGCACTTCTACTTGTTTGCACGACAAACATATTACTCTATATGGAAAGAAAGAAAGGACGGTGTTCGTAGGACCAAAAAGAGCGTAAAATACAGCTTTGGGCAATGTTCTATAATAGACTTTAAACTTTTCAAGCACGTCTTAATTGAAACAATTGTAAGTACAAGTGTTCTCTTATTTTATCACAGCATGACTGATTTCTGAGCCAGCTTATCCGCTTTCAGCCCCCTCCCCAATGGCGACTGTCGTAGGTCATTTGACTAAGTTTAGCGGTCATCTCCATCTAGGGCCCCTGTAAGCGCGATCGTGAATAATTGTGGTCGCCTTGATTACGCTAGAAAACAGTGAGAAAATTGTGGCAAATTAAAATGGACCGTTATATAGGTAATCTGAGTTTAGATTACGATTTCATAGTCGTCATAGGTTCATAAGTGGCAACGGTATATAATCTGTGTTACGTGTGTGATGTTTTTTTTTGTTTCTTGCCTTTCTTTTTCTCACCTATATGCAGTCACTCCCTAAAGAACATATTTTATCAATCGTTAATAACAGCGTGGAGATTTGGCTTTGTTTTGGGCGGTGCTTCCATACTGTCATTATAATTATAAAGGTATATAGTTACAAAAAGCTTCTTTGTAAGATAAGACCAAGGGAATGTATAATTAATATATGGCAACAAGCGGAAAACTGCGGGAATCTGTTTTAGGGCCTGATGATGACCTGATAGATTAGAACAGATAGATTGAATATTAGATTTAGGCCCTGTGATCTAGATGCAATCAGCTAAATTGTCTAGTGTTCTAGAAACTTATCTTTGTCGACTTTTTCAGATGGTTCCCATCAGTGTGCACTCTCGTACCGACGATCATAATGTATTTACTTGTCGCTGTAGTTAGCTACATATAACTTATGAATTAGCTTAGAAGGGTGAGCTTTCCTTTTCGCTTGAAGATAAATCAACGCATTGCTTCGTGCTTAGCGCGCGTGCAATAGCGTCAACTAAGCTTCTCATAAAAGGTTTCAGAAGAAAATTCCAGATATGCACAGCACATGCTCAATTATGTCATTTCGAATTATCCGAATGAAATTTGTGCAGTTTTACAAAAATTCTTTAAAAATGAGTAAAGTTCACATAGCTTGAAACAAGTGGCCACATGGCTGATAGCGGTCAGACCAATCAAGGTCGATCTCTATATCGCTACGGGAAATATATTTATGCACACACCACGCCGACGGTAATTTTTATTGGCATATTCATCTTAAGCACAATAATTCATAGCTGAGTCGACCTTAAACCTATTGAAACTTTAACATAAAACGATATCGCAATATATTCATGTATATGTATGTATACATGGTATTGCAAGAGCCGGACAGTTGGACACACCTTGCGTTTTCCACCTTTTTCTCACGACCAATGACTGCACAAAAGTTCATTAGCGTATACTGTACGATAAAGTGCACTGAAAATATCAGTCACTTCGCCGACGCTTGATGTGCACAACATACGTTTCCTTCTATCCATTCATGTATCATGACCTATTCCTTCGGGTAGCTCGATCACGTGAGTCACAACTAAGAACGCTGCCACCTGCTCGCAGTCATAAGCAGCTAATGTTAGATCGCGTCGAATTTTAATTGTAGCAGCTACTGTCATAGTACCGGTTAAGGTAGAGTTCAACTCTACTCTTATTGTACTATACGTATCTTCGGTACGCCCATAGAAAGACAGAGAGACTGGGCGATAACCTGACAGTCTGCATAGCCCCGATTCAATGTTGACACAAGTGCCATTGGAAGCAATCGTAGAGGTGCGATGATAATAGTAATAGTGGTAACGATGATCATGACCGTGAAATGGCGGTAGACACACTTACGGTTGCAGAAGGATAGCTGTCGTTAGCGGGTAAATACAAATATTATTGCTATCTACAGTTATTGTCGACGTCAATATTACCATCAGTAGAAGTATCCGCGAATCGTATAGTAGTACTACTGTATTAACAACAATGATCGGCGAAATGTGACCGAACTGGTACAGTCGATCGCGAGCGCACCTTAGGTTAGAGGATACCACCGCAAGAAGCGGCGACGCGTTGAGATACGGCGTGTGTGAAGTAGGACAATAGGCTTGCTCAAACCAGTAAACAGTAAATGGCTGACAACCGTCTCGTGACCTATGCAATTCTTCTTTGAAAGCTGTCACTAGCCTAATTACAAGGCCTCTACCAAGGCCATGAGGTCAGCCGGATGCCCCAGGAAGCAATTTTTTTACAATTGATGTGAGCTATTTATCTGAGGTAACGAAGCTTTTCATTCGTTGTCTGTCTATTTTTCTGTCGTTGTGTTTTTGCCCTAGACAATAGTGAGGTATGACAGTTCGCTTGTCGAACCGGATGTGCACACCGTCAGGCACGGACGAATTGTCTTTGATTGGCAACAATTGCGGCTTGAACGGCTGATTCTACTGACAGTAGGAATTTACACTTAAACTAGTCGAATGCCATCCGACGGTCGACGAGATCGAAGTATTGATGATTCAAGTGAGGTACAGCGGCCGTTTGCTTAAGGTTTTTTCAATTACTTGATCTACCATAGAGCACATCGTGCGTAGGCAGCACATACCTATGTTAACTGGAAACGTTCGAGGAACTTTGCAAGTGCTCTCCTTATAATAACTACTGTAGAAGCGAATAAGACTACGAACAAAAATCCTAACTTTAGGTGTGTTAAATGGGACAATGTGTTCCGGGCGTTATAATACAGATCTTTACATGTCTAAGCTCTAACACGATTGATACAATAACGTCTATTTATAGACAGACCCAACATATCAAATCTGTAACCTAAATTGATTCAATATTTACGATTTATGGTGGACTTTATATATATATATTCCTCCTAACTACCTAACTGTGATTCCTCCTAACTGTGATTCAAACACAAAACGCACATCTGATAAAAAGTGATTCCTTATCAAATAGTTCTAAGGATCATTAGGTCTACCTTAGGTGTTTATTGTCGTTGGCCAGTGCAAATGGAGCTTATGAAATGCGAGTTGTTTTGCTCCTTAACTCTCATATTTCCGTGTGACGCAATTGGCCTGCACCTTTGAGAGTGGTTGCAACGACACGATAAAACCAGCGACAGTACGGCGTGAACCAATTGTCTCCTTTACTGTTGCGCCGTTCGTTTTGTTTGGTAATAATGGACAGTATGTAAAGGAATTGCTATTAAGTATAGCACCCTCGTACGCTAGGAAAAAGAATTGTTCAGAGAAAGAACAGTCTTAGTGACATCTCAGTCAAGACCGTACTTCATATCCGACACTTAGTTAATCTCTTATATTCAAGGCCAAATAAAAAAATCCGCGTTAGATAATATATTTGTGCAACATTCATAGTATAGCATAACCAATGATTATACAGATTGGTAAAACTGGCTGGAAGGCTTATGGGCCACATACAGCGACTCATCAGATTCGACATTTACGACTTGTAAAATTCAGTGAAAATCCTTTGAACTATATTTACATCCTAGGACAACTAGTTGGCTGTAACTCTTAGGTACAGGCAATAAGGATTATTATACATTATAATTATTTATTTTATAATCCCAAATCTATATAACTTGGGATATTGGAACCGTTTACTGTTAATAGTATTGTACGTCTAATGGGATACGTAGGATAGTTTTGTTACTCATTACAAGCAATTTCAGTTCCCATCTCCTGCCATATTAACCGTTTAGCATTTAATTGAAGTCTGGCAGCATTCCTTTAGTCGAGATGCCACCGATCAAACGAAGTTTGTCATTAAAACGAAGGTAGCTGCTCTTGTAGGCGTTTGTTATTTCCATGTTGTAGTTTCCTTTTCGAATTTTTTCCAGAAACGACCGCTGATTATGATACGATGATGGTAGATATCATCTGTGCGATACGAGTGCTCTGTGATCACAGCGTTACTCTGATACTATCAAGTTGCAATTTCATTAAATTCGCAATTTCATTAAATTCGCACTTACCAATGATTATTTTTTTATATTTGCAACGTTGATTTCTTGTCAACACATGTTACCTACCTTGATGAACTCTTTTTCAGCAAACTGCTTGACTTTCTCCTCAACAACGGTTCCTTTGGTCGAATGACGCCGGCTTCTGGAAGGCACAGCAGGCGGGCAATCTAAGTCAGTGTCACCCACATGAGCCCCATTTCCGATTAAGCTCGGAACACTTTTCGAAAGATTCCGAAGTGGAGGCGGTGGAGGTGGCCCGCCTGTCACAGAACCTAAAGAAATAAACCAGATATTAATGCTCAGCAAGGTAGCATGCAGCTTTATCCAATTCATCGGTACCGATAATCGTAGCCTCTGCAAATTCAATTTTTACTCATATATATCAAAGGGCGTACATGTTTCTACGCCTGTATCGAGGTAATTTCGGTCGGAAGTGAGAAAAATTATTAGATCATGCGTGAATTCTTCCAAAATAACTCGAACTTGGGCTGTAGTGAAGGGTGCTTAACTAATAATTTGATACACACGATTTTTATTGTCATTTTCAACTATATATAATATCACTGCTATGCCAAGAATTCTAAATTTTTTTAAGGAAGTTGAGGTGAGAACCGTTTTGTAAATTTCTAAAAAAGGCGAAAATTACACTCGGAAAGAAGTATTCAAGTGCACTAGTACGATTGCTAAAAACCAATGGTACGGAATATCATATTCAGATGTTTGCTGAACGAATGATGAAGGCTTCAGTGCCGTAGGCAAGACCTTTTTGTGAAAGCATAGTAGAATTAGGTCAGGTATCAAACTGCACTCCACAAAAAACAGATGTATGTACATGCACAAAAAAAAATCAGTCAACTAATTTCAGACTGCGAGCCAAAACCACTATTTGAGTATTTTGGAGATTCATAATGTAGTACTAAACTAGTCCTACGCTACATAAGGACTTAAGAACTTTGAAAAATAAGGCCCTAAGTTGCAAAGAGCCTCAGGTGTAGTTTCAACGTAGTGCAGTAGAAATTATATTAGATTTTCCCCAAAATGTGCAGAATTGTATTAAATTTTTTTCATATTGATATGCTTAATAACTCTTTCAAACGCTTTCAAGGGCCTAGGTTTCACCGCAGATCTATTTTATTTAGAAGTACTATGTTACACATTATTATTGTTAAAAAATTTAAATTTTATATCAAATTTTACGAAATCTTTGTCACTCCAAAATTCAGCTCTATAGGGAAACTATTGAAGGTGTGCGAAATTCATTAGATGTGTACCACTTAGATGAGGAATGTTAGTGTTCTTTACTTCAAAAGCTGATAGAAAGAAAGAAAATCTCAGCATGTTGTAGGGTAGGACAGAAGAGCCTCTACAGCTAAACTTCATTTGTTAAAATTATTAAAACCAATTTTGTTAACGACATAACCTTCGTTTCGAATCACCAGGACGCTATCACCGGGACTACCAGGACAAAAACAGTAGTATTGGTTTTAGTTTTATAAATCCTAGCTTTTAGAAGATCTTAGTATTTTTTTAAACAATTAACTGACCTGTAAACAATTAGTATGAACACTTCTATCATCATTAACATAACGCTAACAACACAAAATAATTGTGAAGAATGCACATGGGGTGTTATTGTATAACATTGTATTTGCACACAAATCATCCCACTGTTTAAAATGTTGGCCTGACAAGTCTCATCGTGTTCGATCATCTCAGCTGTTTACTCAACGCTCTCGCTTATATCGCGTCATTTCTAGGACTTGGGGGTATTTCAATCCTGTTCTTGTTACCTCTTGATTTCAACTGAATCTTTTTGTTGCTTGTGCTGTATCTTATCGTAGCGTCTCGTTAAGCTTTTCGTTCTCACCTTTGGGAATAAGCATGCCCGATTGCTGTAGGAGCTGTGTGTTGATCATACCAGCTGAACTCCTCCGCTGATGTTGTCCCATATGACCGGATGATAAACCGCATGATGATCCGGGCGGTGTGAGAACCGGTTTTGGAGGTGTTGGTCCATCGACACCGAAGGAAGACCCCAGCGTGTCGATGTGTCCAAGGGAACCATGGTCTGAATGTACCAGCTTCAATGAAGACGGCCGGCCTCGAAGTGGGTGGTGTGGAGGAATATTTTGGTTGTTTGGGTGAGGCTGTACTGGTAACGGTGGTCCTGCACCGATTGTACCTGGTGTTCGTGTAAGCTTTGACGATGAAACAGCTTGCTGATATGCTGGTGGCGCACGTGCTGGACGCCCAGGTGGTGGTCCCGCAGGCCCTTGGTGTCCGCTTCCTACAGGGCAAGACATGTCGGCCACAATAGGACCAATAGATTAATCTTCGGCAATACCACTTCACACAAACGATATGCATGACGATATCATACCTTATACTTTAAATTGAATATATGTTAATTAAAAACCTTGATTTGAAGTTGATTAAAGATCTTGAAATGTAATAGTTCTAACGTTACATTATTCTAATGTTAAGAGCTTATTTTTGACTGCGGTGAAAGATATTTCACAAGGCTCAAATAGCTTATATTTTTGAATAATATAGTGGGAACCCTTAGATATTCAATGATTCAACGCACTGCTGGCACTTTGGCGCTGATGCGCTGAAATCTATCTCAACAATTCATAGTGTTGCTCAAATGCTAAACGCAACATAATAAACATGATTATATTTTTAAAAGGACGTGAAACTCTAATATGCAGCTAACAGATTTTAAACTGTCTCTGCAGTATATCAAGTATTATATATACGTACCCTACCCCGTTAGTTTGGATATCACTGAGTTATTTTATCAGTCATCCATGTCTAAATGTGGACATGTTCGAAATACAATGTTCGGAAGCAAGGAAAAAATTGGAAAATTACCGTGATGCAAAATATGACCAAAACTCCAAACGATTAAATATTTTCATGGTTACTCGGAGGGAAACAGGATGTCAAAAATGGGTGTTTACTTTGCGACGAGTCTCTCCTATATAAATAAACTGTTACCTTTACTATGTGATGGATGTTGCTGTTGTAGGTTTTGAGCCTGAGTATGAGGGGGCACCCGGGGAGGCTGTTGAGGCATTGCAGATTGTGGTCCCGCTGCAGAACGGATATTATGATATGCTCCTCTCATTCGATGTCCTGATAACTGTGGTAATGGAATAAAATGGCCCTGATTGAGCTGCAGTACCTGATCTCCTCCAATCATCGCTGCCATTGGCTGTCTCCTTCCTTGCTCTCTCAACTCAGGTCGTAACACAACGAACTTATCTCCATTTTGTGGATCGGTCACCAATGTCGCTAGTTTATTCACATAATCCTTGAATTTGGCCTTTGCCTCTATACCAAAGAAAAAAAAAACCGTTTAGCTTCAAAATGGCTCCTTTCACCAAAAACAAAGAATATGGTTAAGTAGTTAACTAGTAACGCCGAGTCTATCACTTTTGAATTAGGAGTTGCTTGGTTGAGGGGGTTTTCCCACAACAGCTGTTATAGTTTGAGGTAGCAGTAAACTTTCAAATAAACGCCAATATAATATTGTTAAACATTAATCTAATTTGTTGATAGAAGTTCAACACATGCATTTGTTGTTGTTTAATTATTAATTTAATTAAAAAAAAAAGCTACGTTTTTCGTCCGCAAACTTAAAATTATATTGAATTTTTTCTTTTAATACCTAAGCAAAAGTCCATTAGCGGCATCCACGTAGGTCAGTTATGTATCAGGTAGTAATTGTAGGCACTAATTTAAAATGGCTTCATACATGTCCAATTTAGCTCTATATAGACAGGGCTGGTTGAGAGCACTGCTTGCATGCACGAAATATACTTGTAAATTGTATACCCTCTTTGGTAGCCGGATTTTTCAGGTAGCGGGCAAATCGTAGAACGAGCTGTGAATTGAGCATACGCCCATTTGACGCCATTAACTCGTTGAAGATATCCTCCTTTGTAAACATCAGCGGGGCGCCTCCCTCCTGCAATATTGAAATTCATTGCGTAAATACATAAGTCATCATCGGACCGATCATACGTACGTATAGGACACATACGGATCGTACTGATTGAATTTGATAGTGTTCTATATTAACAACACCAAGATGTTTGACATAATGAGTTGTTAGATTTGGAAAAAAGTGTTCATATTGTATGTTCAAAAGTTTACTTAGCCTATTTGGTATTGGATATCCTTTTTCTGCGCTGCACCAATAAATCAGCGTGATTAAGATAGAACGCAATAGTAGTCAAATGTCCTCCATATTCAAGTTATGCAGTTATGTAATCTCTAAACGTTCAAATGCGTAGCATGCTTCTCTCGATTTCTTAACATTAGACAACAACAATAAAAACTATTCAAACATGCTTGAAATATACAGTATATCTGCGTATGAGTGACAAATACGCAACGAAAGGTATATTTGACGATTTCATACCGTTATTGTTTGTAATGCTTTTGTCCTTGCGGCGAAACTCATTATTTGCTGTACATTTGTCAGGTGTTCGTTAAGTAATCTAAATTATCAGGATGTGAACTGCGAGCAGACGTCACACTTATAATGTATTAAAGGGCAAGGGACTACGTCGATTTGGCTATTTAAAGATGCATATTATAAAATTAGGAACTAAGCTACAGGAGATGGTCCCAGTCTGCAGATGACTTGTTCAATTTTTGTTTTTTGATGATATTACGTTACGAAGTTTTTGTAGATGTAGCCATTCTTACTTAGAGCGGAAATCAACGAATACAGCATCTATATGAGAGTACACGTAGAGGAGGAATGTAGAACTACACGAAATGATTCTTAAAATTCGTTGTGTTCGTGAACAGATGAGCTCAAGAAAAAGTATTCCAAGGAAACTTAACGCACGTCTGATTTCTCGTAAAATGGCAAAAGCTTCATCAGTTATTTTAAACAGAATCAGTTTTAAGATGGCCATAGACCTTGACGGACAGGGACCATTGTCCCACATTTCCGTGTGAGAGAGTACGCCATACGACGAATGGATACTATACCTAAACGGCTGCTAATATCCATAGCTAGGCAAAGAAGTTCAAGCATAAATTGTTTAATAAAAACTCTACATGTAAATTCTCCTTCTCTTTGAGTACTATCAGTGACAATATACAAAGCATCTGGCTAATGACCACTAAAATAACTCTGCTGCAGATGAATTGATTGTCTTGTTCAGACGTGTTCAGAAAACTGGCCGTCAACGTCAATCTATTTCGTTTCTTACATATTTTTGTTCGTGTAGATGACAGCAGTTAAAAACTTTTACCGTCGCCTGGACGGATGCCAAAGGGCTGCTTCAGTCGTCTGAGCTGATAATTACTCAATACCCTTCCCTCACCCACTGAATAGGGCTGAAAAGAAACAACAACAACTGTTATTACGATAACAGTGAAGACCACAGCTGAACAATCACGGCAACGGCATTCCTGACTGGCTCTTTACATTCTTATTAGATTACGGGCTATCTTATTGCAACTGTCGTAAAATTACTGTGTGGTAGATGTCAAGCTACTCGAGGTTTCCATTTATCTAAGGCTCTGAAGCCTTCAGCTGTACATGAGCGAGGCGAAATCGATCATAAGAATTTTTGCTAGTTCGGTAAATCGAGTAAAAGGTAAATGTACTTATTAAAAATAATTTTTCTACAAATATAAAATCCTCTTATGGTTGACAGCACGCATTATTTTACTCTAATTTCTAATATACCCAATAATACCCTAATTTCTACAATACCATTTTCAATCTTCTTCTTAATTTCAAAGTAGTTGCAGTCGGAGTTCCGAAACATTTGCTTTAAAACGTACGATCCCATTTTGACCTCTAAAAAAAAAGGCTTTCCTGTGATGTTGTAGCAATCGACAACCGGCGCAAGGCATTACTAGTGATCCGCAGCTAGGAAAAGAAGTCAGGTATCCTAAAGTCAATATTCCGTTTTAATGGCGTTACATTAATCTACTACGTAAACACTTATACTATTGAAAAATAATCTGAATCTTTCAAGCTAATTTTATCTCTAGATGTTGATTAGTACAGTGGCGCCAAAGTAGTATTACGATCTTAAAGTATTTGCCTCATTTTCGATGACAAAATCTTGCGGGTGAAATTATATACGGGTATATACGGGTGGTTAGTATTCCGCGAATCATCTGTTTGCGGCAAAGTATGCGGCATAACGTGCGTTATAGAACAAGTAATAGATATATTACTTTTGACTACTTTAATTGAAAAATCATCAGCAAGGTTAACAATTACAGTAGCCTGCTTCAGTAACACAGTTTAGTCTTAAAGACAGCGGTAGAAAGAGGCAAAGGAAATCACAGAACAAGTGCTTACAACAATCCGCCATAAAAAACCTGTTTATACGCACAATAGTTTAATTAATTAAGTTACTTCCTACAACGGTTAATCATTCGTGTAGAGAAATCGAACAGTTCAGTGTCATTTTAAAAATATTAGGCAAACACAACAACTAGCTTTCTAAATATCATCACGGATATTCTTTTCACTAATGGCTGACTGCATCTTCACGTGTGGACGCCACCGGCCGTTGTCCGACATAGTTTAACGTAGCTGTCAATGAAGGGCAACAATACGGATCTAATGCAACGATAATTCGACGCAAGTCTGGCATTCACGGTCTATAAGGAGAAGACAGTGAGACTATATTACTTCAGATCGGCCCTTCGTTTGTTCGTGCCTACACAAGGTGAGATATTGGTTGATAGCTGCGTGATATTCTAGCATATTGGTCGATTTGTATAGTGTTAATAGGAGCTGAAAATGATTATCGCTTCAGTCATAACGAACAAGCATTATTAGATCTCAAGCCCGTGTATATAAACGCCACAATGAAGAATATTAATTTCTCTGATTTTTTTTTTGTATAGTAATTCGGATTCAAACTATTATGAAGGATTGTTGAATTAAGTCAACTTCAAGCACACCGCTCATGTTCAATGCGCCTTTAAATATGTTGATTTGGACAACTTCTTTTTTGTACTAAATCTTCCGCTTCACAGTAACAAAAAGAAAAAAGAAATGATGATGCTCAGAGAGGACCTTGAGAGCGAGATCTTCCTCCGTATTAGACCGCTGTGTGGGAGATCTCAACTGTTAACTTTTTCCACCATTGACGTATATTCGACTTCCTCGAGGCATATCTAAGTTGAAACTGCATTTAGGTTAAAGAATTTATAAAAACCGCCTAAAACTGATAACGGTACTCTTGAATTGACAAAGCGGTTTATGATTTATCTGTGTTATGTAAAAGTGCTTTGCGATGTACACCATTAATTTTAGTTATCGTGCGTGCGTTAAACTCATATTGAGCACTCATAAATCGTACCATTGTTTTGTCTGGATAGAGGTTGTCTTGTTATTGGCTTGCAACACAATCTTTCTCTGATCAGGACTGACCGCATCAAACTGGTCAAGTCTGATCTGTCACACGAACATTTGTATACGCACACCTGTTTAATTCACTAATCATTTCAGTATTAACATGTCATCGACGAATAATAACACACTCCATAGTTCCAACAAAGGTAACATTCTTTTTTCAACAAGTGCGGTTCACTCATCGGTTACACATTGAAGCGACAAAAAGTTCACAAATAAACATCAAAAATCTCCATCTAACAATGCACACACATCTTTCTGCGGATCATTTAATGCGAACATCGTCGAAGAAGCATTTTATTCTTCGTTGGATTCACCATTTATTTTGATCATCGTCCAGAATTGCACGAATACTAGAAGTAGCTTCCCTCCATCGAGCTGCTTCAAGGCGGTTTCGAACATAGGATGCCTACTGAACCCCACTAGACCACTGGCTGACTCTACATCCACCGTCAAAGCGATACGTCAAAACATAGCCGCTTGTGCCTGCCAGCCCGACAATCAACCTGAAAGCAGAAGCAATAGCTCGTCCGGTTGTTTGACGAAGGAACGGACATTTGCTGCTGCTTCTGTCTCGATGTTCTGCCACTGCTACTTCATGAGGCGCTGCGGTCGTCTCAATCGACGCGCAGAACAAGAATTCTTTTATGATGCAAATTAGCGGGGTTGATGAACGTGATTCACTCGGTTGTACCAGCTGCCGTAGCCAAATCACGTTAGTCATTGAAGGCACTCGATAAGATGTTCGATTGAGATAGATTGCCAGTCTAACGAATAGGGGAGTATTAGTGCGGAGCTTAAAAACGGCAAACGGTAGATTATTGTTGCAAAACTGGAATGTCTTTGAAATGATGATGACGGCAAGTGGAATGATCTTGTCTGTTAACATGGCACGGTAAAGAAAGGCGATCGGACCGCATGTTGAGCCGATATAAATGAATTTAGCGGTGACAAGGCAAAGAACCTGTCACTTATAAAATATTTAACATTGTATCATTGATAAGTAGTTGTGCATTCCAATTACTAGTCTGCTGCATATTTATTAGTTATTATTGTTGTTTAAGATAGCTACGGATCAAACGAGTAAAACCCTACTGTTCTGTTAATAATTAACTTGACAATTAGCAGTGGACTGTGCTGAACTCTGAGTAAATAACTTTTATCATACCTTTCACGGATGATAATGAGAAGTCCTAAGACGATGATTATCTATATAAATTGCTTAGGCTTTCGGACAGGCAGCTCGACTACAGGAGATCATTTGACATACATGTAAGCCCACCATATGTTTATATAGGTTAGGTTTTATCTTAATTCATCAAACAAACATCTACACACTTTTATTATGCTTCGTCTCTAATGCAATATTTGAAAAAACATATATTTTTTTACATGAACTAAATGTCACTCCTGATAATCATTCTTATAAAGTGTGACCACCATTCACCGCGATTACGGTTTCAACTTGGGTTTTAAACCGCTCAAAAGCTCGTCCCAAATGCTGCCTCTGTAAATCCAAGCACGGGTGCCTGATTCGGTGTCGTTATATCCAGGCTTATTAGTCGTTCGCTCGATAATGCTTCGTACACAGTAATTCAATCTGAGTTGTTGGCCGCTACATGTGCTCGTCTGAGAGCAGGCCAACCTTATATTAATCAATTTATGTGAGTCGGTGCCCCGTATTGTTGAAAGACGCATGGCCTTCTTTAGGACGCTTCAGTTATCCATGGTTGTACAAAAGTTCGCAGAATATACAGATAAACTTTTTCTTGCAGTCTTAGCTTTTCAAAAAGAAGTGTAGTGACGTGGAGTCTCCATCGGTACACACCACGCTAAGAACATATGCTTCAGCCAAAAATTCGCCTTCAAGACACAATTGCAACACGGCATACTGTCAGTTTGGAATAACCCATTATGTTTATGACCTCGGTAAACATTCGTCTAATGCGTAGACCTCGGATAATAGCCAATCTCTGCCAAGAACCGAACCCGGATGCATTGTTGCTCGCCATGACGAGTTTATTTTATTTTCTTGTAAAAAGTAATGCCTTTCGTCCGGTATCAGAAATATCGGATCTATGTATGCCCGTTGCGACAAACAGTATGGCAAAACTTGTGCCAATTTAAATGCCGAATCCTGTTTATATAGGTCGGCCAGCCTTATTACATGCATGGCATATGTTTGTGTTACTATGTATATAAGCGTATGCACGTATTCTCGTAGTGAAATCGAAGTGCAATTGGGTATCTACAACGATGATGCGTAATTGACGTTTTTTGAAGTCGGCTGATCTCATGTAAATCCTTTGACAGAGTTAACATAGATAACTCTGACACAACGATGCATTGTTTTTATTCCTACTAGGATTCCTACTAGGGGCCTTAATTTCGATAAACGTTAAATATTTTTTTGTAAATTAACGAAGAAAGCCAAAATCCAGCTTCATACGATAGTTATTTATTTATTGGTTATAGTGTACTTTACGTATTGCAAATTTACAAGCGTCCAATGCTATACTGTATAGCCAAAGCTAATAACAGCAATGGAATAAAAATATATCTATACGGAACGATTTATTCACAACCACCGTATTATGTGTACCTCGATGATTTGTCGATTTTTAGACACGGCTGTGTTCCATTTCCTACACGATTAGTTCATTAGATGTAAACGTGTAGAAATTTTTACATGATTTTATCTAGGTTCAAGTGTTAAATTAAAAGTTGTTCAAATTACTATAACGCTATTTTATACACGATAGAGAACAAACCAACAAACAAAGAAAAAAAAAAAGGCCATTTTTGTCTCTTTGATAACCGGTCTTAAGTTTTTAAGATATCTGTATAGTTAATAGATGATACCTAAGTGGAGCTAAAAGATCAGTTTGTTTATGGCCGCAATCTAGGCTACTGTAGTTCAGAGTAACCGGAGAACGCCATATGACAACACAGAGCCGACCGCACTTCCAAATCCTGAAAGAAAAGATGTTATTTCAGCTGCCACCTCCTGATGTTCAATGGCGACCGTCCTGAAATAAAATCAGTGTTTCACAGCTTTAGGCACGGTATGGTGGAGGAATCACGTTGAACACATGCAATATATGATATCAACTTTTGATTGTTTATCTCATCGGCGGGATCTGAGGCAGAGACCCCTAGCGTATTACAAAGTGCTATTAATTAAACATTGCAAACATTGTTCAGCCTATCCGAATACGTAACTGTGATTACGTTATGGCAGGTTATCTTACGGTTCATGGACGATTACAGTAAACGACAAATAGATAAAAGAAGAGATGTTCTCTGCATGAGTTAAGGCGCTGTGATCACTTGTTGACTCTTTTTCGCTCATATTGTAAAAGTAAAAAAAAAAAATAGACATAGATTATTTCTAAAGCAGTAATAATTACACCAAACACCAATGGAATCGAGCATGATACGTGCTAACGAATAGTTTTTCCTAATTCTCTAACTTACTTCGGTGCGTGCACGAACGCAGTGGTGCATAAATAACCGTTAGAAGCTCCAGCGATGATCATGAAAAGAACATAGGCAACATCACTGTTCAGGAGCACAGATGTGTGTACTCGATTGGCGGGTGAAAGGTTACAGATTAAAAATAGCGGAATCAGTATTGCGCGGGCTACACATAGAGTAAGCAACAATTTGGTACGACGAGAGCTCTGCGAAGGAAATCATAAGGTAGATATATGTCAGATGACTGTCGCTATAGATATATATAAAGTACTAACAATTTTAAAGCAAAAGTTGAAGTAAATATGTATTATATTTTAAAACAATATTACTAGGACCAAATAGATCGGTGATTCTCTGCCACTTTTTTTGTCACATCATAGATTGTTCCCATCATTGTGGATTCGGAGCGAAAAATTCTGAGAAGTGATTCTTGCATCATTCTATTGAAACTAAATTCACACTATTAGAAGGGCTTTACAGGGAGGGCAACAGATGATGGCCTGATGGCGCAAGATTTGAGCTATATTGCAGTAAAATCATCTACGGCATTATCTGTGATCAAAGCCTGAGAAATTTAAGCTCGATTTTGTTGCGTCTCTGATCGAAACTTTCAAAAACATGATCGAATACTTTTCTCTTTTGCGTTTGTGTACCAACTAAACATTAAGCTTCTTTTATAGCCGCATCTTTCAGAGAGTTTAGAGCTACTTAACAGTAACTTTTTTTAGTTTTTTAGCAATATAATGACTATTTACGAGTCGCTCTTATAATAAACCTATCAATTTTTCATATAACTAACTAATCGACTGACTCCTAAAAGGAGAATCTTTTATATAAAAATATTTTGAATAGAATCATTTTTTGGTCGTGTCTTTTAGCGCTGCATCTTGATAACAAAGGACAATTTTATATGGGCTTGAGTAATGCCTGGGTCATCATCGTAATAAAATTATAGAATATATCTTATGAATAAAATTATAGAAAAATCATACGAATCTTCAAAGCGCTAGAACATAAGTCATCTAGTTAAGAAAATCGGCAATATTCTTTTGATAATTAACAGCTTTTAATTCTAGCCTATAGAAAAGCAAAAAGAGGCTATATATCGTGTACGTTTCAAATTAGAACCAGTCTTATATTTCCCAAACTAGATTTTCTCTTACTAATTGAAATAAGCCAAAGATGTATCGTCCGACGCAGTCAGCGACGTTAAACACGGTGAAGCACGCTAATGGAACGAAAAGCTTATCTGAAAAATACAATAGCTTATAATTTATTTATTAAAAATAAAAGATCATACGGCTGTCCATTAAACGAAAGACCTGCTAAGTCATTTTACATTTAACAATGAGAATTAACTAAAAATATATATTATTAAGCATAATATTTTTTTACTAATAAAAATTTTCCAAGCTACATTTTTTGGTCAAACTTTATTTAACTAAACGTGAAGAGCATTGGCAAAGATTTTATCACTATGTGCGCATGATGATTACGGTGCATAGAAGAATATCTGCAGTTTTTATTTAACAAGACCATTTACCGGTAAGTATGTCTCCACGTAAGTAATGCGTCGATAGAGCATTTACTGTGAGCGCCGGAAAAAACGAAATTGTGACCATATAAACCAAGAAGCTAGATACGTGAAATGGCCACCCCTGAGACAGATGCAGTATCATCGCAGACCCAGACGAAACAGAGCAAAAAAATACGCTTAGTTTATTTAATAATAGGCAGCTGTTTCACGCACGAGTCCTCACTACTCCTCTGCCTGTTCATATAAATTTGTAGTAAGGATTCTTCCTAAAGCAGTTATAAACACATTTAGAAGTGCCTGTCACGCAACACAAGAAAACACGGGAGGGTACATTTTCAGCCCTCTAAACTGTAGTTATGTCTATAGTTAGCCACAGTTCTTGGTTTAATAGTCGAAGATGCAGATTCTACTATTGCGTTCAATAGATGACTTGAATGATGACAAACAGAAATATCACTGGGGCATCTTTACTGCACAGTTCTTCAGCTCAGGTATAGATCACTACGGGATCAGTGTTATTATTGCCATTCATATCTGTGTTGCGAGGTGACTTCCTGTAAACTTGCTGTAATGATAGGTGAACTAAAAAGGAGAATTATGTACTGAGATTACTGATATTAGCCTGATTATATGATGATACTGATATTATGAAGATAGCCCACTTGCGCCCTCTGTAGATATATACCTTTGTGAATATTTCCATGTATGGAACGCCGGCCATCGTGGATTCGAAGGCTGAAGTACTGCTGGTGACGAGGCATCGGTAGTGTTGATAGAAATCCTAAATTGATAACAAGAACATCGCATGCTTAAATGCGAAAATACTATAGACAAAAGACTATAGATAAATTGCCATTGACTAATCGTCACATATATATCCATCGTTCGGTGCTTCTTAGGTAAATATAGCGACTACTAATTGACCGTGAATATCAGTGAATGGTACCACTGTGCTCGTATCGTAAGAGGTTTCCGATACGCTAATAGCCTTACAAGTGTCATTTCAGAACGGACAATTGAACAGAATAGGTTATTTGGAGCCGAAATCAACTGCGTACGCTTCATGATCTATGAGACAGTGTTATGTATTACGGATACGCTTACAGTGTGCTGCATGGCTTTGTACGCAGCCAACGTAAGAGTGATTATTGCGGTAGCCGCACTGAAATATAGGAGTGCGGTATCCTGGTGTCCTAGGCCCATAATAAGGACACCAACTTGAAGCGCGCATGTCACAAGACCACCTGTAGCTTGGCCCAATGAGCAAACTGTAATGTATCTGGAGGGAAGATAGCCACACACACCCATAGAAGCACCCATTAAAAAGCCAACCATCGCTGAAATGAAGTAGTAGAGATAGCAGACGCAAGAGTACGACGGAACAACGAGCAAAAAGCATAAATGTAAATCGTCCATTTCGATACAGCGTTACTTGTTGTTATATGAATACTAGGCCTCTAACAAATCCCTGATTACGTGAAACGCTTCAAATAGTCAGAATTCCAATAATGATAATACCCGTAGTAATGGTGATAGTGATAGTACTAATTCATATCTAAAATCCGGGAAATCAATAGAGCCCTAAATATTGTTGGACCTGCTTGCTGAGAACACTCGACAAAGGACTAGGTATTTATGATACAGAAAACTGGAGAGGCTTAGTCTGACTATAAAATCCATTCCTGTTTGCCTTCTCGATCTGGAGACGTAACGCGTCATTAACGGCGTAGTTACTGACAGAAGACGGTGTCCCGAAACCCACTTCCGGGCTATACTTATCGATTTTTCTAATCAATATATCCCAAACGTGATCAGTCTACTATTTCGATGAAGATTTAAAAGAAAATAAATGAAAAAAAAAAAAGTGAGAGAGACAAAATTACCTTGTTTCGAATTCTTACCATTCACTAAAGCAACAATAATTAACGTCGCCAGCAAAAAAACAACTTGTTCTGTAAGTGAATCCGACAGAGCGATAGTTATGTTTCAAGTTCGATAGATTCATTCACATTGTTGTATTATAAAAATTATGTATTTTGCTATACGAGTTAATGCTACCAAGAAAAACAGGAATGAGTTAGTTGTCAAAACGCTAGGCTAATCTACGAAGGTCGTTGGCCATACTCTAAAGGAAAGCTGGAAGGTGGTACTTTTCAAAATCAGGTAATATCAGTGAAAATATTTTTCATAATAACACTCTGCTGAAAAAAATTATAGAGACAAGGCTTTCTAAGACTTACCGCTATCGGTGTTGACCTTGGCTAGTATTGTGATAAGTGTTAGCATGGCAATAGTAGCTATAAGAGGATATACAATCCTGGAAACAAAATATAAACTCAGCTCTATTATAAAATAGGCACCCTTTTACAATTCGCATACAATTCTAATGACATTTTATTTTTAAATTGCACTATCTACGCTTTATATTTCAAAGCGGATCAGCTCGTACACTGATTAAATTGAATCAAAAAGCACCCTTACGCGTTATTAAATGACGAAACGCGAGTAAATCTCTTTTTTTTTTTTAACACATTACATTTCAAGAAGACTGCTTTAGTTTATCAATAGAAATTTATTTAGGCACAATTATAATTTAATCATACGAAAAATTAAAGTAAACTAAAATGGACATGTAAATATTCATCCGGAAGGGTTTATGCTTGTCGGCGTGGGCTACAGCTTAATCATACTAACCGGGCATTACTGGACACTCTTTTGCTTACGAGTGCGTTTAGTCCTAGCGTAAATATAAAAACGACATTCGAGGTGATTGACTGGTACGCCCCGAAAAAACGTTGGATCTCGTTCTGTTCCGGAAATGTATTGTTCAAGAGCGTCTCTGAAGAAACAGTTGTGTTCACGCTGCTGCCTGTTGTGTCATTTATCGTACGAAACTTGTACAACCAGTACTGAAATTTGAAAATTTAAGATTCAAAGCAACATAAACTTTCGATCGAAGCTGGTTCTGTCCTCGAACAAAACGTACATGACGAGTGAATGTCAGTCTTATACAAGATGTCTTTAACATTGTAAATTTCACTTATAATAGATTAATATAGAGTTAATTAAGCTTCATTAGGGTACATCGTTGGCCGTGATGAAGACATTCCATGGAAGTAACGAGGCGATTCCCAGGAGGAAGATCGCACTAGACGTAATGTTCAACCTGAAATTTAAATAGGTCACAGCCAGTGAGATTTGATATATTGCCTTACTTGGGTGTTTGCTAACTCGATACTGTTTTTTCTTTTTTTATTTGTTTTTAGTTAGAAACACGTCTAGTACCTGAAATTAAAATTGTGTGTGTCTCCTTGCATTGCAGTTTTCTAACATTAGATATGTCCAATGAACGTAACCCCAACCGTGGCTGAAAAATAAGCCCACGATTTCATTTTTATTTATTTGAACATTCAAATATCGTATATCTCTTTATAGAAAACGTTTAGAGACGAAAAAGGTAACAAAAGTTGATCGGATACACAATAACATTTCGGTCTACATTAAAAATGTTATTTCGAAGATCCGCCGAAAAGGACGATTCTTCTAAATTTGTAAAGGTCGCCTTGGGGCAAAAACACGTCTCTCTCAAAAATATAAGTCTATATACATGGAGACCCGGTGAAATCTGTCATTACTTTAAAGAATTAATTTTAATTGATTTAGCTCTTCTAATAGTACAAGTGAAAAAAAAACAATCTAATTTTATTAAACTACTAGTTGAATTTGTTGGTCGCGCCTTTTTTAAGTAATCAAAGAAATTTAGTCCGGCCCCGCGCAATAATGCCGAAGTTCGTCATCTAAAGCTCTTCGTGTGTTTTCAGGCCGACGATTACCTGCGAAGCTAAAAGTTTCGCCCGGGAACTGAAGGTCGCCTTTGAACGGGCAAATAAATTGGTTCGGTACGTTGTATGGAGCTCGCTCAGGGGTAATGAACTCAGGGGTATGCACCGGGCTTAATAGCAGCAGACCATATAACTGCGGCCACTCGAGATCCGCTTGCACGGTCTACGCACTTTCATAAAGCAATCATTTCAGCAGCGGAATAAGAAAAACAGGTAGTCTTTGTTGGTTTCTACCAAGCTACTTTCCCACGGGAGTGATTTTTGTACCGCAGAAGATCGAAGTTGGCCGGTCGATTACTTACCGATCTTGTGGCGCGTCAGATAAATCCATCTTAGGACACAGGCGACAAGTTTTCTGAGTGAATACTATATTTGCTATATTAGTTTAAATCCAGCAACACGGGATGCCGAACTACGCTGTTGACCTTGTAGGCTGTGCCATTGCTTCTTTCTTTCTCTACATTAGGACGGTAATGATAATAAAACCTCATGAGTATCCGATCCAGTTCTAGCACTGCGTGGGATTAGGTGAACGTACGACTGGCCATCACCTTCAGCTTCTATCGAAGTTTTCATTATGAAAAATTAGAAAGACATTTAAAACGAAATTGAACACATAATTACGACTCAAGCGCTCATACAATGTCTATGAAGATGAAGCAACATATACTTACGGCTGTACAAAATTGAGGTTAGATGAAAAATTATTATTCTTTTTTATACTGGGCCGATCAGAGAACTATTTTGTTTGTCAATTAAAATTGAGTGCTGATAACTTTTAAAAGACAAAACTTTTACTTGTTCATGGTCTTCCTCTACTGTTCGGACAACTGGCTATAGCTAGATAAAGAGGTCTTTATCGAGAGGCGCCACAAAAGCTTATAGTAGAGCACCCCCTTCATTTTTTTCCTGTTTTCTCTCTCTTCTTCTTTTTCTTTAAAGTTTTCTGAGGAGTCAATTTCGAAGGATACCTCGAACTCAGCAGCCTTTGCTCCATTGAAACCTAACGTAAGACAGGTATTTTATTAATGTCGATATCAGTATTGCTTCGCCGTGTCTTTTTTCCATTGTACGAATAATGTCATGCATGAGTTGACACGATTTGTTTTGCCACCTTTAGTGGGTCAAGTGAGACCGATATTACCGGGCATATCTTCCCTGCGCATGTAGACGATTCAGAGCACTACAGCGGTTGACCGCGCTATTTAGAAAATCTCAAGTTTACCAAATCAAGATGGGTGGAATATTTATGCAATGGAGCCAGCAGTTTATCGTCATCCGCTTCATGCGGTTTTCTAAAGAATGCTTTATAGTCAGAACGATCATCTTTTTCATCTGATACGCCGTTCGGATTTGTCAGCTATATTCATTCCAGCAGGGAAGCAACGATAAAATAATGTCGAACCTACAGTTCCTTTGTTCGATAGTTTGATCGCAAATCAAGCTGCTGCTGCTGCTGCTGCTGCTGCTAACGAATCTAGAAACAATATAAATTGTGCCAGAAACGCATAACGGTTCAAAGAAAAAGCATAGGTGAAATACGCAACGGGTGGGGACGTCTAAAAGTTGGTCAGTTTTTTTTTGACTCATCCAGAACACAGTTACTGATTAAAATTAAAGCATCTCGTATGCGCCTATAGGATACTTCCTACTGGTCTTATCAGTAGAGGACATTCGTCGCAGTTAAGTAATCAACATTAGATAATAATTATGAAAAACTACAGGGTTGAACTTCATTCTCGTATCTATGCTTGTCAAGCTCAACGCAAAACGTAATCGTTAAGTAACGCATAGAAATTACTTCGTTTTATCATTCCGACAATTACGATATCATAAAAGTGTGGCCGGTAACATAGACTGTCCTTTGTGCCCTGATATTTGTAACGCACGCCACAGTAGACTCTCGCATTTAGTTCTCACGATGACAAAATTAATATTTTTTGGTGATTCACTCGTAGCACGTCTACATTCGTTACGCTATATAGATTTTATCCGCAGGCGATCTTCTACAAAGCTTGTTACCTACTCCGTAAACTTGCCAGATCTACGCACAAAGAGAAAATACTAGGAAACAACACTTACAGTCATCGATATATTGATGCCCTTCCATCTTTTTAAAGCTTACATTATTAAAAGACAAGTTTACTAAGTACAAGTTCCGCTCACAATTGAAAAATCAAATCCTTGAAGTTATACGGATTCTTTGTTACTGATAAGCCACGCTTAAGACACCGTGGATCTAATAGCAGTTATTCTCAACTTCTAACAGAGATTATTGAGATTGCCTGTCTAGCAGAGCATTGCCTACTGGACTTGTTTCGCGCCATATAGTTAATTTTCTTCTATTTATGCTTCCTCTCAAGAAAACATTTGGATGCGCACCCAGTCGATTAGCGCTTGACAAACTTCCAATCTACTGTTATCATTTGAGAAAAGAGGGCGGCGTGAACATAGCAATAAAGCCACGGATTATGAATGAATTAAAGGAAAGTTATCTAGATGTCCATGCCATCGAACACTCATTCGATTGTAACTAGCGTTCTATCGATGAACATTGTGCAGACCACTAAAAACACTTCGTATTGTTCACAGCAAAGTTATGTCGAAGTGAAGCATATCTCCCTTATCTATCTAGCACCGACTATCTAGCCACTATATTGTGGATAGATGTCACAGTCACGCGCAAAGTTCGCAGATACGTCATGCAGTAAAAGGATTACCGTAAAAAAGGATGCTTTCCAGCAGAGTTAAGACAATTCTGCTTCCCGTCATTGGCCAGGCACAATGGGCAGCTAGACTGGTATTGCCAGTTGGAACTATGTCGATCGAGTCCACCAAGTTGGCTGTATGGACTGCGATCGTTGGCGTTTGTAGCTTCCGTGTTCACTATTGAACGAAGCCGACAAAATGAGTCTTCTAGCGGCTGCGTGCGAAGCGACGTCATTCTTTGTTGGACATAGGAATACGGGAAGAGGGGAGGGGTACGTAAGGGAAGGAAGCTGAGGAAAGGGAACGAACTGGGACGAAAGGGCGACGCTACGGCCGGCTCTGAACGCTCGCTCGCCTTGCAAATCGCTTATAAGAAGTAAGCAAAGGAGTGTGAAGTTGAAGAGAATACAAATGTTTCTAGCGATTATAAATTACGTTGATCTTTAAAAGCTAGAGATTGTGATTTTAACAAGATGCTGGTTCGTAAAGCACTGGTGCATGATGTGGTCATAAGTGGACGATGTCGTTCACATTTAAATAGATCAAATATAGGCAAACACGTACGAGAATTGAGAATTATAAGATTTTTTCAGGAATTAGTGTTTTCCTGCTAATTAATGGAAGGTAAGAAGAAGTTCACCTGCAACGAGCGCCGAACCAGTCATACAACTGAACGGGGCATCGCCTCCTAGGATAAGATAGAAATTCAAGTGAGACATACGGTCTGACACCCTATAAGGGGAAATTCAGGCTTCAAAATTTTAACAGATATTTACATCGCAATTACAATTGACAGTAATTAGGTACTTAGAGTAGTGCAACAAAAAAAAAGGGAATTTCTCTCATAGAGACGCACAGCTTTAACGAAAGTGTTGCACCGCGAAAAAAAAATAAAAGAAACCGAATCAAAGATCAACGGAGCGCATTTAATCGATAAAATATAAAAGGCTAAATCTTTCACGCAGGTGGATGGGCTGTGGTCGTATGAGTTCGAAGAATTCGCCGAGCTGTTTTACTCGCTGAAGGAAAGCCTAGGCATTGAGGCATCCTTACAAGAAAAAGTCCAGAGTGACACACTGTGCCTGACACATATTTCTACGAATATACTAACCAAAGCGTAATAACAATTAGAAACGTTGAGAATATCTATTGTGGCACATGATTCATGTGGCTATGCTTGAAATTACATTCTGTGCTATTTTAGTCAGTAGAGATACTGTATTCAGTAGCGGAGGGCCGTAGGTAGGTATACAACTTGTATCGAATACCACAGACTGTATACTACATCCAGAGCGCTCTCAGAATACAACGCCCACGTTTAACTGTCCGATATAGAAAAAGAATTTTTGAAAAAGGTCAACATCCACTAACTACTGAACTTAAACATGTTGAAGACTAGAGGAACTATAATATCATAGTTTGTTTATTCCGTACTGCTAACTGCACCTTGAGTTAAGCTTTATCAGATATATATTTATTATCAGGTACTCAGTGTCACCAGTTTGCCAGCAACTGATTTTTGTTGATTAATTATTTTGATTTACACCGATTAAATAATTGTATAGAAATTGTCATTTTGCTCAGAGATTTGGTTGTACGCAATAGTTTCATGATTGAGTTCGGTGCTTCAGATTCATTTCTGACTGCCCTCTCAGCTTTTAAAAAGGCCAGAGTAGTGAAATGTTGGTACCCAATGCATCACCAAGATCATCGTATTTGCGTCGGCTTTGCGCGCCTTATTACTCTTGCTTTTCAGCATTATGCTATTAGAATCATACCTACTAAATTTAACTATTATTACTTATTTTTTTGCTATCATTATTTATTACTTATAACTAAATATTTGTATATACATATATATATATATATATATATCAGGACAATTAGTTGTGCATCCGACCTGGACGTTAGAAAAGCGTACCAGCTTTAATTAAAGTCTATAGGAAATTTTTGAATATTTCTTTACTATTTCTTATTTTTAGACTTGTTATATGTTGTCATATTCCATGAGTCGCTCGTGTCGCCTTCGGTATACTCGGCTATACACACACACCTACATATTTATTTAACTTGCTCTACGAGACGGTAGAATTGTTAAAAACTATGCCACCGGTAAATTGGGCCCGAGGCTAAAGCGGTTCCACGCTAACCGTGCCTGAATTAATGTCATTTTATATGATCGTATGGTTTTTATATATACGAATCTTTTTACGTATATGAATTTTTAGCCACAATAATTGGCTAGACGACTGCATCGGTATAGCCGTTTCCGAATGCTCCTCGCAAACTAAAGCAGTGGTTTTGTTAGACCCGTTGCAGCCTTAGGTATTCTAATATAGTCCTGTTCTGTGTGTGGTCTTCAAGCGCTACGGCCCACAGTGACAGGCTTCTTTGGCTGCAGTTAGATTGCTACAATGTACGGCCTGAAGGCACATCCACACAACCTTCGTGCTGTTTTTCATTGTGGAATCTACTTCACGCAGTCAGTAGTTGTTTTTCGCGGCTGAGCCATTGCGATTCGATTCGTCGATGCAGGCAAAGGCCGCCGCAAGCGTTAGTTCCGGTAGAGCCTTCAAGTAAGTCCTTGTTGTCAGCGGCGCTGAGTCGGTGACGGAAACGAGGTTCGGCTATGAATCATTAAATTCCGTTTTACGGACGTTAACAGTGAATTATCCAGTAACAGTGTTTCTTCGACGAATCCAAATTATCAAAGCGTATCGTTAGTGAATATGGAAAGTAATCCTTTGACTCTCGAGTTCGCCATCATCCTTCTATGACGCATGGCGACGCAGAATCGCGCGTACGGATACAGTATAATAAGGAGTATTCGATAAGTCAAACTACTAGGCCCTTTTTAGGAAGCTAATCTATTCAGACAATTTATTAAATAAGGCTCGCAATTGTTACGAAGCTGAGTCTTAACAAGCTTAGCGGTGGTGACCGGTCACGTTTATGACATACCTGCATGTCCAAAATGTAGAGGTATCCTTTTCTTGGGCGTATAGCGTATTTATTTTGCTTGTTTTAGATGGACCAAGGGCCAGTTATTGTTATTATTGGTGTTGCCTATTCTGGACTTTAAATGTTACAGAAAAAATCACATGCTGGCTCTTAATCCGTTACTGGGTGTCGTTAGCAATGTTTTAGGATCCGAGTTCAGAATCGTATTTTTATGTTGTTTCTTGTTACTTTGTACATTCGATTTATTCCGGCGGTACAAAAACTCATTCTTATGTCTGCTTTCATAGTTACGTGATGTAAAAGTGTTGCTAATAGCGCTTATTCATATCGCTGTTTAAAGGCGTTTGACGTAGCCTCTGATGCGGGAGCATTTGATTGATGATAATTTTTTTCTGTTTATTTTTCCTAAACTTTGTGGCACATTTTATTATACCTTAACTAATTTTCAATTGCAGTTAATAGCTAAAGTTGATTCGATCTAAAACTTTTCAGTGTAGAAACAGTATTGCTTAGTGAAAATGTCCAAAAAAAAAAGCTTGTTTTCGGTTCGAGGCTTGCTGTCGCTTACCTGATTATGACGGAGGGCATATTTGTTAGCTAATGTCGGCGCATTACTTGCATCTCGGATATATCGTTCGTTTCAGCTGCTATTGTACTTTTACAAATGATCAAGAGATAATAACATCCAGTTCTACGTGCCGTCTGCAAAGGCCCCCTCATCAGTTGTTCATTTGTTTCAGTCTACAGATTATATGGTAAACTTGCATTGAAGTTACCGTAAAATCGAAGGATTTTGAACTGTAGTTGACATTTTTAGCAAGTAAATATTTGGTCTTCTCTAAATAAACTGAGTGTCAGTTTATTTCGAAAAGTTTATAGCATACGTGCTTCCTTTGCACCGTAAAATTTGCCCTTGCCAGTACTTTCTAATCAGCTTTCGTAGCCAAATTTTGCACCAGGCATTAGACATTGCATAGCTTCAATGCTTCCTGCGATCGGTACCGTCACGTAAAGTCGAACGAAAAAAAACTCTTAAAATGTTGATCCGCGACATCTGTACCTGTATTATTTAGAAAACAGGCCAATCTTGTTTTTTTCCTAGCGCAAGCTAAACTTACTAGAAGAAATTGACTGCAAACCTCGCTAGTCTCATTCAGTAGTTATTTCATTATCCTTACGTAGACACACATGCATATTCTCCTATATAACATATGGGGTCTACATTATCTCCTGCCACTCATTGGTGAATGAAATTGATTTTTCAATCGGCCACTGCCCTTGCTATAACTTCAGAAGAGCAGAGTTATTGAAGTAAGTGTGTTTTGCCTTCAACGATTTTAAACCATAGATAGGATATTATAGTCATTGCTACACCCAAAATTATCACAAGACATCTTTCGTGTAAACCATATCACAAAAATATTTTACGACTATACGGAAAAATCTTCCTCAATGACCGTTTGTGATAGTTTGGTACCTGCAAACAGCTATTGTACTATAATAATAATAATAATATCTAAGGATGAATATGTTTTCTAGATTTAGACTGCGTATATCCACTCTGCACGCGGCGCAAAATTATCGATGTTTATTGGTCACATCATCTAACCAGTGTTGTCTTTGTGCTGTTGAAAGTTTTCAAAACATTGCGCGCAGTGTTTTTCAAAATTTCGACGATCAAAGGATCTACGCTCGATGAAACTTCGCAGCGATCCGGCATGGGCCCGTCGGCACGCCTAAACTTGTCCATACGCTATACATGATTTCAGCATGCATGCATGCATCACTACCGATCAGTATTTGTTTGTTTTCTAAAAACAAAACAGATATAACTGGCTCCTGGAAACATTAGTATGATTGCCCGTGTGTTGTGTTAATGAAAAACTCTATCTAGCTTTTTTCTTACTTCGTTCCTTCAGCGTTATTTAAGGTAGACGTGTCATTAATCTGACCGCCGAGCTCATTTCAGTGGATACCAAATTTTTTTTTTGTTTGTTCCTATTGATACAGGCCATCAGACGGGCAGTGTCTCGGAGTGCATTTCGGAGCACGAACGTTTGAATTCGTTTAATTGTACATGATTGTAAAATGAATATTCGCAGGATAATTAAGTATCACTTTTATATGTCCTGAAAACCACTCGTTTTTAATATAAAATACTTGAAGCATCGAAATGATAGATGAGTTGTTCGTGAATTTCGTCATAGATGAATCCAGCTGACGTCAGTAGCATAAAAATCGTAACGTAGAACCATTATCTTTTTCGCTTTTTTACACTCAACTTTGCATTATTCGGCATTAGCTTAGTCGACTCGTCTCGATTTCGAATACAGCTTTCCTCTGCTACAGCCATAAAGCAGCGAATGCCATAGCAACCATTTGCCAACGCTGAATTTCGAACCACGGGTGTCCGTCTCATAGCTGTTGCCATGGCAACGCACCTACAGGGAGATAGATAAGCCACCCTAACTGCGCCGACTCCCGTAGAGATACTGCGCGATTTATTAATAATCTGTTATCTCGGTATAATAAATTTTATTAAGTTTCGACGACTTGTTTTTGTCGTCAGTGAGCTTTCTGGTGTTACTCTAGTCATCACAAAGTATCCAAGTCCAATTTCTGTACTATTTCTACTGTTTGCGATTCGCGTCTGGCCGAATTCACTTGAGCTAGATTTGTCGAAGACGTCAATTACGTTTCTATTTCAAACGGTTTCTGCGTAATGTCGACACGCTACCATTGACGCTATGCGATTAGATCCGATTTCCATCAAAACCTGTGACAAACGGCTTCTTGAGCTTCTTCGGATGCTTAGCACGCGCAGCTTGAACGCGCCTCTTTCACTGCCGTATTCCTATCAGATGGGTATTCACGGCTCGTTATTTGAGTATACGGTCAACCTGGAAACAAAACCATCCTCTTTGTTCTACCTGAGCGGAGCTGTGACGTCAGATTCGTTAACTGCAAGCTAGAAATTCAGGAATTTAGTTTGTCACAATGTTCGAAACATCAATCTATGTATGTGGGACTACTATAGAGCTACGCTGGTCGCAGTACCGACTATCGGGTTTCTGTAATGTAAATCATATCTACTAAGACACCGTCGTGACCTTGTTATCCGTAATGCGTGTAATGGTGTTAAAAGTCTTCTCAAATATTCTACGAGCTGAAGGAAGGCTTGGCAAAGTGCAAACATGTAGAGAATTGCATTTTCAACTTTTGAACTCATTTAAAAATTATCGATAAAGATTATGTTCAGGTTTAGTAACGTTTTAATTATCCTGGGCCAAACTGCGCAAGCTATAACTTTTCGATATGCACGATAACTTTAATACTAAACGCACTACGAGTCAACCTATGCTAGTCCTGTTCTAACTGGTTAATAGGGCATGCACCATTACACGTCTGTTGTGAGCAGTCTGTATACCGTGTTATATTGCTCCATTTTTCTTGATGAGTTCCATAGGTAAAGAAATGAATTTTAGTTAGCGCCATCAAAACATACGCTTAGCCCACTGGATAGTGTTTTCTTCAGCGACATCTAAGGCCCCGTGCATTGAAACTTTCTATTCATTTGGGTTATGTTCCGCTAGAGCGTCCTTAGTATTAAACCGTTCCTGTTTGACTATCGATAATGTGCTCTTAAGTTAAAGTTTATTTTCAACACGCTATAGCATATGAACGGAACGGCAAGGATATATGTGTCTCTACGCCTACCTAATTACAATGGCTGGTGTCAATTTGTCTTAACATACGTTCTGTAGGACTTCGGCAAATTTAGGCGCAGTCCCTGCACGTAATCATCGGGACATAAAACCCATTTTGATGAGAATCTTCCAAACACATGGCTCGGAAAGATGGCCTTTCCGGAAAATACCGTGCCCGTCTCCCATATTTAGTATTAATAGACATTTTCTTGCAGGGGAAACTTGAAGACTAAATTTGCGCCAAAAAATCGACGACAGTGGACGATTTAAAAATCGCAAATGCGGAGATTGGTAATTCATTATTATCAATAGTGTAATAATCAGAACGGCAATAGTTGTAAACGTCTGCGACAGAATGAGAACTTAAATATGAATTATATGTAAAT